TTCCTACTGAACCAGACTGAGAGACCATTTAAAGACTCAGGAACCCTTTGCAGGTGTTATGGCTTAATTAGCTGATTAGAGTGGGACACTTTGAGCCGAGAATATTGCACCTTTCCACAATATTCTCATTTTCTGAGATTGTGGATTTGGGGTTTTCATGAGCTGTAAGCCATAATCATCACAATTATGACAAATCACAGCTTGAACTATCTTGCTTTGCATGTAATGAGTCTATCTCATGTATTAGTTTCACCTTTTAAGTTGCATTACTGAAATAAATGAACTTTTGCACGATATTCAAATTTTTCGAGTTTCACCTGTAGATAATGTAATAAACTATATTAAACTCATTGCTGGTAATTGTTGTGTATATCGCGCGTTCTGGCCAGAAGGGCGTGGCTACAAGGTCACACGCACACTGCATCACTTCCACTTGTACGGAAGACATCAACACTACGTATTGCCCCATGAACGATTTTTTTTAGTTTGGTTAATGTGGGCCACGATTTTGACCAACAAACGAGCACCTCCCGGTCGTCGGATGACCGATTGGTCGATTTTCTAATATATTAGATATTCCCACCTTTAGTCCCCCCGGTCACATCAGGTGCGACTTGGCATGCGATTTGCAACTACAGCGGTCAGATCGGTACGGTTCCGGCATGGTTAGAGCTGCACCAATTTGTAAAGTAGTACATGCACTAATTTTGGTGCAATTTGCATAGACATCTGTGTCAGATGTCTTGCAAATCTCACCTGAAATCGGCAGGTCACCCGACTTTGAAATCGTGCGACTTCACTGTAAGTCGCACGATTTCAAAGTTGGGCTTGATGTGACCGGGGTGTTTAGCAAGTTTAGTTACCACTTTAATCAGCCCCAGAACCTGTGTAATTAATATGTGTTTCAGTTTTAAAGGGATGAGGTGGCAACCCTACTTCTAAGTTGCACCTGAAGTCGGACTGATATCTGAAGTGAAGTCGCACGATTTCAAAGTCCGATTCGGTGTGACTGAAGACTAATAGTGAAACTGACATTTTTATATATCACATGATATTTGATATTTGAGTGGACGTCCTGAAATGCTGTGATCACACATGACCCAAGTAACGCTCATGCAATAACGATCCTTTTCAGATCCCAGTGAAGTACCCAGGTCCCTATGTGGAAGTGCCTGGTTAGAGTGATAAACTTGTTAGGATTTTAGCAGGGTTGGTTTGTGGGGTACAGTTAAAGATAAATACTCCTAAAAGTTAACCCTAACCCTATCTCTAACACTTAACCCTAACCCTATCTCTAACACTTAACCCTAACCCTATCTCTAACACTTAACCCTAAACCCCAATCTCCAACACTTAACCCTAACCCAATCTCTAACACTTTAACCCTAACACTGTGATCTCCAACACTTAACCCTAACCCTATCTCTAACACTTAACCCTAACCAGGCATGTCCAAAGTCCGGCCCGCGGGCCATTTACGGCCCGGGGGTCGGTTTAATACGGCCCTCCAACAGCCCTCCCTGCTCTGTGTAATATGGCCCTCCCACAGCCCTCCCTTCTATGGCAGACAGTCTTCTGCTTGAGAGCAGAGGGCAGTGCGCATGCCTGACTGCGGCGTGCGTTCTCCCTGGTCTGTGTAAATGCGGCTGTCGCACGGCCCTCCCTTCTGTGGCAGACAATCTTCTGCTTGAGAGCAGTGCGCATGTGTGACTGCGCCACGCTGGGAGCGACAGAGGGCGGTGACGTCAGGGCCGGGCTTCCAGCGTGAAGTGTGTTTCTCTTCCCCTCCCGGCTGCCGAGCAGAGACTTCAGCTCCAGCTACCTTTTTCACCCTTCACATTAGTGCAGGTAAGTTTTTTTTAAATTATTTTCAATACATTGTGAAAACTCAGCTGTCAGTTGATCTTAATGTTATGAAATGAAAAGTATATCGTTTGCAATTAACTTGGCATAAAATAATTTATTTGCATTTAATTGTAATGGTTCAAAGAATGTTCGGAAAAATGTTCGGCCCTCCACCATGTTCACTTCATCCAATCTGGCCCTCTTTGAAAAAAGTTTGGACACCCTTGCCCTAACCCTATCTCCAACACTTAACCCTAACCCTATCTCCAACACTTAACCCTAACCCTATCTCCAACACTTAACCCTATCCCTAACCCACCCTATCTCCAACACTTAACCCTATCTCCAACTCCAACACAATTAACCCTAACCCTATCTCCAACACTTAACCCTAACCCTATCTCCAACACTTAACCCTATCTCCAACACTTAACCCTAACCCTATCTCCAACACTTAACCCTAACCCTATCTCCAACACTTAACCCTAACTCGAGCCATTAACCCTAACCCCAGGTTCACACCTATGCGTTTTCTGCAGTGTTTTGCAGAAACACAGTACAGTCCATTTAACATGATTTCCTATGGGACAGATTCACATCTCTGCGTTTTCACCCGGTGCATTTTTTGGAAAGGGTCAGGGACGTTGCATTTTTGGTTCTATAGACTTCAATGGGAACGCTGCAGAAAAACATGTATTGCGTTTTTGCCGCGTTTTTGATGCTTTTGCGTTTAAAATCTGCCTAGTAACAAGAAAAATTTAAAAAAAATGAAAAAGCCCCCCCCAAAAACGCAAGTTCAAAAACGCAATGCAGAAACGCACGAAATGCAACCTGCATAGGTGTGAACCTAGGGTAACGTGACTTTGGTCCCTGCATTACTTTGATGCTAAATGTGTGCCAGAGAGTGTAAAGTCGCATCAAAGTTGCACTTCATGAACAGAACTGTCATACTTTTCTGTTAGCAAAAACAAAAGCAAAAGCAAAAGTGCACCACTTGTGTTTCTGGTGCCGGTCTATTGAAGTCTATTACATGCAAAACTCAATCTGCTGCGGGAAAAAAGGTCCCTGAGCCCAGGTTCACACTATGCGGTGCAGGACACCGCATGTAATCCACACAGGAATCGCACCGCATTCCTGTGCGAATTACATGCAAATGTCTATGCGGTGTGATTTGAGCCATACATTTTGTATGGCTCAAATTGCATTGCATCTGCACCAAAAAGGTGCAGGACCCTTTTTTAAATCCACACCTGGCAATCGCAATTTATCACCCCGCACCAGGCCTCATGAATGTGATGCGATTGCAATGTGGTGTGGGGAACACACAGGATTCGCAGCGTTTCCCACACCACATTGGTGTGACCCCTGTCTAAGCCCAGGTTCACACTAACGCAGTGCAGCACATTGAATGTGATTCGTACATGAACGGAAACGCATTCCTGTGCAAATCACATGCGAATTCTGTGCAGTGCGATTTGAGCCATACATTTTGTATGGCTCAAATTGCACCGCATCCGCACCAAAAAGTTGCAGGACCCTTTTTTTGTCCGCACCAGAATCGGATTGCATGGGTGTTCACACCAACTCTGAACATCGCACTGCGTTTTGTGGCCCAATTTCGGGGTGTTGTTAACTTAACATACATGGTTCGTATGAACGCAATGCGATTGCAATATGGTGTGGGCAACACACAGGATTCGCAGCGTTTACCACACCGCATTGGTGTGACCCCTGTCTAAGCCTGGATTCACACTAATGCGGTGTGGCACATCGAATGTGATTCACACAGGAACCGCACCGCATTCCCGTGCAAATCACATGCGAATTGTGTGCAGTGCGATTGGAGCCATACATTTTGTATAGCTCAAATCGCACCGCATCCGCACCAAAAAGGTTTTTTTTTTTGTCCACACCAGAAGATTGCATGGGTGTTCACACCTATGCAATCCGATTCTGCTCATCGCACCGCATTTTGCGGACCGATTTCGGGGTGTTGTTAACATATACGGTTTTTTATGAACGCGATGCGATTGAAATGTGGTGTGAGGAACACACAGGATTTGCAACGTTTTCCCGCACGGCATTGGTATGAACCCTAACCCCAGGTTCACACCTAAGTGTTTTGCAGAAACGCAGTGCAGTCCATTTAACATGATTTCCTATGGGACATGTTTACACCTGTGCGTTGTCACCCGAGGCGTTTTTTGGAAAGGGTCAGGGACTTTTTGTTAACTCAAAAAGTTGCTTTTTTGTTTCTATAGACTTCAATGGGAACGCTGCAGAAAAGCATGTATTGTGTTTTTGCCATGTTTTTCATGCCTTTTTGCGGTGTGGTGCGGCATATCGCATGTGATTTGTGCAGGAACCGCACTGCATCCCTGTGCAAATCACATGTGAATTGTGTGATCGCAGCCATACATTATGTATGGCTCAGATTGCACCGCATCCGCACCAGAAAGTTGCAGGACCCTTTTTCTGGTCCGCACTACAATTGGATCGCATGGGTATTCACACCTATGTGATCCGATTCTGCACATCGCACCGCGTTTTGCAGAACTGATTTCAGGGTGTTGTTAACATACACACCCGCAGCGGTTCGCATGAATGGGGTGCGATTGGGATGCAGTGCAGACTTCGCACAGAAATTCCACATCGCATCAGTGTGAACCCAGGCTAAATCTTAACAAATGGAGAAAAACCACAAAAACAAAAAAAAACGCAACGCAACGCCAAACGGTTCAAATGCAACCTGCACAGGTGTGACCCTAGGGTGTGTTTGGGGGGGAGGAGCTATTCACAAAGCTCATAAACTTCAAGATCATTTGGATACCCGGACCGGAAATGACAATGACTGGGATTCTACATCGTCACTATAGTTACTCTCTAATATGTGTGAAGCTTTATTTCGTTGTCAGGACTGGAATGACGTCCATATATAATAACCCCTCCCCCTCCCGCCTCAGACGCTCACTCTGACAGACAGCTGTCATTCTCCGTAGCGGGCAGCTCACGTGCCCCCTAGGCTTCCGTCTATTGGTTCGTGTTCCCGGGAGCTGTGTGCTCATTGGTTGGTACTCTGCACCGTCTCCGGTGACGTCAGGGTGGTTATATAATAGCGGGAGCCCGGGTCTGTAGGTGATACGCGCTCTGCAGACATGAAGGCTGTGTGTGTACTGAAGGGGACCTGTGAGGTGGCCGGCGTGGTGCACTTCGAGCAGGCAAGCATCGTCCTCTGTGACCGGAGTGTGAGCTGACCTCCGTCCGCTGTGTGTGGCAGGGCGGGCCCTGCGTGCTGAGTCATGTGTGGGGGGGTAGGCCTCGGGTTGGGGCCCTCTGAGGGCCCCCTGGACAGGGGGAGTGGGGTTGTGGGACTGCTGTCACGTGTTCCTCTTCTGCTGTTCAGTGTAGATCATGGGGGGGGGGGAGAATCAGTGGTGCTGCGTTGCCTGGTCAATGCTGCCTTGCTGGTATCTGTAGTTTTCTCCTGCGTGTGGAGACTTGCTGCGATTACCATGCCTTATTCTTGCACATAAGGGATTGCTGGGACTTGTAGTTCTCCACCAAGCTGGCTGGTTCGCTAGCTGCCTCTTCTGTGCAATGCAGGGACTTTAGGCTGGCGTTCTCTTTAGTGGCCTCACCCCCTCTGTAGAAAAAGGCCATACATGTCCCCATGTTGGTAAAATACAACATTTGCATTTATTAAAATGTAACTAAAGGGAAGCAGTCATGTTGGATCTAGTAAGGGAGGGTTCTATCCTCCGGTGGGCTGTGTTCTGCCATCTGTGTCCCCAGCGGGGAGATTTCCCTTCACTTCCTGTCCCATAGCTAAAACAGTAAGTGCGGGGTGAATCATAGTGCCCCCATTGGATGATTTCCCTCTATTACAGTGCTGGTGTCCAACCCAAAAAACTTGGGATTTATTTCACTTTGACAACATTAAATCAGCTGAGATATTAGTTGGATGTGTGGTTGGGGGGGAGGGCAGGAAACGTGAGGTTGAACTGCATTCTTGCTGTCTTCCAATTGAGACACACCACACACTCCCCCAAGTGGTAGCAAAGGTAGAAGGTGTTTCTTACCTACCCCCCCCCCCCTTCCCCATGTATTCTGTGCAAGCAAACTTTTCTGTGTGCAGCTCCCCTAATACTTGAGCCCCCTTGTGATCAGCTGCCCGGGGCTCCCACTCCTGTCAATCACAGCCTGTGAGCCATTGAGAGAGCAGGGGGCTGTGCTGCGGCTTATGGACACATGGAGTAGTGGCATGGGAGCAAGCATGCACCAGTGCCCCCATGGCAAGCAGTTTTGCTATTGGGGACACTGGTCAGGGGGGAGGAGCCAGGAGTGCTGGCAGGGGACCCAAGAAGAGGTTTGGCTCTGCTCTGTGCAAAACCACAGCACAGAGCAGGTAAGTGCGATGTGTGTGATTATAGATAGTGAGGGGGAGATATAGATATATATCTATATATATCATTTTTTTTTTTTTTTTCCCAACTGAACCTTTAAAGGACACGTACAGCCAAAGCTCCTTTGGCTGCTCTTCTGTGGATCCCAGGAGTGTAGCTTGTTCTGTACTGTGACCTGTTTTCAGCCAAGAGCGGCTAAGGTTCACTGTCGGCCCAGGCTGGGGAAAGATCGTGACCATATGATCTAGATCCACCCATTATCCTGGACTGGCACCTGGGTCAGCGTCACAGTGAACTGCTGAGAACCTGAGCCAGCTGCTCCTTCCCCCTCCACAGCCCAGCGCTCCAATAAGCACTGGAGGGGCAGAGCAGACAGTGGTGACTAAGTCCCAGCTCTCCGCTTAGAGCGGCAAGGAGAACTGAGTGATCAGCTGCCCCTACTACAGTCATGATTGGATGAGTTGGAGAGGAGGGTGGTGGTGATCAGTGCCATATCCAGTCAGAGAATGCCTTGCATTCATTGAGAAAAGTGCAAGGACTTCTCTGAATGGCAGCAAAGCGAATGACCAACCTCCTCTGGTTACTATGCAGCAGAGCAGGACTGGGGATACAGCAAGGAGCTCTGGAGTTTTGGCAGCTGCTGTGATTTTCTGCATTCACTGGGTCCAGCAAGCTGTACAAAATGTCTACTTACATTGGACTAATGTAACTGGTTGTAAAGGTTCAAGGTTTGTTACCGTTACACATTCTATGCATGAAGATAAAAAACCGTGTGCAGCTCACCCCGGGCCCCCCCATACTTACCTGAGCCCCATCTCGATCCATTGATGTGCATGAGAGCAGGAGCTCTCCTGGGACTCTCCTCCCTCATTAGTTGAGAAAGCAGTGGGAGCCCTTGGCTCCTGTTACTTCAAATCACAGCCAGTGAGCCAATGAGGGGAGAGTGAGGCCATGCTCTGTCTGAATGGACACAGGACAGCGGCTTGGGAGTGAGCTGCTTGTTATGGGGACAGGAGGGAGGGGCCAGGAGTGCCTGCTGGGGACCAGAAAAGGGGAGGATTGGGGCTGCTGTTTGCAAAATCTCTGCACAGTGAAGGCAAGTATGACATGTTTGTTAAAGAGAAAAAAAAAAATCTGCCTTTTATTATCACTTTAAGGACCAGTTCACACCAGAGTCGCACAGGAATGTGGTCCGTGTTGTGTGTTCCCCAGCAGTACTATTTTGCAGCCCATTCATTTGTATGAAAGCAGTAACCATTCCTCATTTATGTGCTGGAAAGGTGTGATCAAAGAAAACATTTGTCACTCCCCTCTCCCCCACACTTGGTAATCACTCACCTAGACTATACATTGTAACAGTGGTAGCCTGTAGTTGGGGGGGGGGGGGTCGCGTGTGTCTAAAATGGAGTTCCTTTAAGACTGCACACTGGTAAAGGCAGACTGGCGTCATCGTGATCATGAAGAGTTGTGTTGGCTGTGGGCGTTGGTCACTTTGGTGTGTTGGGTGCCAGGTCCTGGCATGGCATTGGGGTTCCTCCTGCCAGTTGGTGTGAAGTGTCTGGTACCGCTGGCATCTGTCACTCTGCTGAAGATTGGCTTTCCATTCTACCCCCTCCACTTCCCCCGCCGGTGTTTTCTTCTCTGGATTTTCCTGTAGGGTCACTTCTGGAACCTTTCTGTTCTGTTCTCAGGATGAGGTTTAGTGACCTTTAAATGGCCTCTTCTCAGACCGTCTTCTTGCAGATTGCGATGTAATTCCACATGGGCTCACCTGCACACAATGTCAGATATTACATAAGTGTCTGCACACCTCCTGTACTCTGGGGCTGCGGGTTGTGTAACCGGCACTGCTTTGTGTTTCCTAAACTTGGCAGAGAACTCGCCTCCACCTATTTCAGTTTGCAGAAAGGTTTCACCTGGGATCAAAACACATATGTTGACTATTTCAGTCCTAAAGGGATTGCTGTGGAAACATTCATTCTGTTGGCTAGCATGCTATATGGAAGTATACAGGGAGGCTTCTCTGCCCCTCAGTGCCCCCAGTAGCAGAAGGCTTTGATCTCATTGCTGTGAAGAGGGATTACAGAGGACCCCAGCTAGGCCTCTGAGCTTTGCACAGACAGTAACCTGTCACATGCTGATCTTTAGACTGTACACTTCACAAAACTGGGTCAAAGGGACAGAACAAACAGCAAGAAATACAGGAAGGATCGGATCAAATGTGTCAAGCCAAGTTTAGTGAAGCGGCTTACTGCACTCGGTGTGAATCTGCTGAAATGCCTTTTATGAATGGCTTTTAGGCTGAATGTTATCAGAGCTACACTACATGTGAGCACCAAAAACAAATCCGCTATATCATTTTTAATATTCAAAGAAACAATTGAGTACTGTCCGTGATACTTTTTTTATTTGCACTAACATACAATTTTGAGGACAAGCTTTTGGGGTTTGTCCCCTTCTTCAAAGTCCAAAACTTTGTGATTTGTGGGCTTTGAAGAAGCTTTGTTTCTGTCGCAAATGCACTAATATGGCTACAATCACCTCAAGCGTAATATTCAAAGCAAACTCTTCTATCTCTGCTTTATTTTGCAGAAATCACTTTGAAAAACTCCCTCTAGCATTGCCAGGTGCAGTCATCTTAAGTAAGGGCAGATTCATGTAGCATGTACATCCTGGAATCCATCTGCCCTTGGCTCAGGTATGCAGGCAGGAGGGTGTTCTTAGCTGAGAAGACTCCTGGGATATTACTTCATTTGCCTAGGCATGGAAACCAGGAAGTTTGTCCGAAAGGATTTACTTTCCTGTCTATTTACTATTGCTAGGAACAGGGATTAAAATGAGAGCGTGAAGTTCCACTATAACGTAAAAAAAAAAAAAAAAACTGAGTTAGGGTTTTTATAGAAGAAACTATTGTATGTCTGTTCTACAAAAAAAGTTTTAGTTATCTAGTGAAAGATATGTATATCTACACGAAGTGCATGCGCCGTGTGCCTTCTTGGCGCCGTGTGCCGTCCATTCACACTGTTGCATATAAAGTGTGCTAATGCATGTATTGCTGTTGGTGTCTGAATGGCACCCAAATGCAGTTTGCAGCGTGTGATGCCAGAAATGCAGCAGCATGTACCATGTCACCTTTGTTGCATTGGCAGCCTATTCATTTTGCGTGTGCAGCATAAATCGCCTCAATGCATTGTGACTATGAATTGGCCTTGAAAAAAAATAAAAAATATATTTTATATATAATTTTTTCTTTTCTGGTCTTTACTCCCAAGCAGGCAGAGTGTATATAGCACTCGGTCTCGTTGCCCTGTTGTACCCTGGACATGCCTCTTAATGCTGACTGTAGCTGCATTCATTTTGAACCCCAAATTATGGATGCTCTGTGGGGGATGTGCAAACAGCAGAGCCCCCCCCCCCTCTCTAAGCTGAGTGGTCTGTCACTTTTATGAATGAATTACATTGCTGTCTGTTTATTCATAGTGGTAAAAGATCACTGGGAGCTGGCTGTGTGATGTCTGCCGATGCCATGTATGAAGTAAATGCAGAGGTTAATATATTATACAGTACTGCAGATCTGAGGAATCTGTAACTTGTTATAAACAAGCAGGGCTAATCATTTGTTCATAATGGGGAGAGATCACTCAGCACTGCAGCTCTGAGATTTCTCAGATCTCATTCACATGGGACAATTTGATCCATGCCCAGTACAGGGCTGTTTACCTGCATTGGGGTGCACAGGGGTTCCCCACATCTCCCATGCAGGCAGTCCCATTCATGTCTACTGGGACACAGCCACTGCTTCCAATGTGATATCA